GAGTCTTATTGTATGGTGTGACTTATCTTTGCAATTTTTTAAAAAATTTCAACACTCATGTGAAGGTCAGAGGACAACTTACAGGAGTTGGTCCTCACCTTCTACCACTTTAGGAGGTCAAACTCAGTTAATCCCAGAACTCAGGAAGCAGAGGCAGGAGGGTTTCTGTGAGATCGAGGCCAGCATGGTCTACAGAGCAAGTTCTAGGATAGCCAAAGCTACAGAAAAACGAGAGAGAGAGAGAGAGAGAGAGAGAGAGAGAGAGAGAGAGAGAGAGAGAGAGAGAGAGAGAGAGAGAGAGAGAGAGAGAGAGGAAACTCAAGTCATCAGGCTTGTCATCAAACACCTCTACCACTGAACCATCTTGCCAGCCTTGAGTAAGTTGATTTTCCTTTCTTTTGACATTCCCAAACAGTGACTACTAGCAATAAATTTGTTCATAGAAACAGTATTGCTCTCTTTAAGGATGAATTAGTTATGTGTTGTTACCCAGTAAATCATCCCAAATATAGTAACATTCCTTCATCTTCATTTGTTTCTTTACTTAAAAAAAACAAAAACTTTTTTTTAAGACAGCATCTCATGTGTCCCAGGCTGACCCCAATCTCCTATATAACTGAGGATGACCTTGAACTTCTGATTCTTTCCCCTCTACTTTCCCAGTGAGCAACCATTTATACTTTGCAGTTTTTCTGTGTTGAGAACTAACTCTGCAGTGTGGGTGGGTGGTTCTGGCCAGACTCAGGTTATAATGTGATTGGAGCTGAAGCTGTAGGAAGAACGATGAAGGTTGGGAGAGCCATTGCCAAGGGGCTTCTTCATACTGTGAGCAAAATGTCTCTGGTCCTCTCCACAATCACTCTGTTTTTGTTTTTTTCCAGAGAAAGTTTCTTTGTCAGACAGCCATGGCTATTCTGAAACTTGATTTGTAGGACAGGTTGACCTCAGACTCACAGAGATCCTCCTGCCTCAGCCTCTGGAGTTGCTGGGACTGAAAGGGTGTGCCACCAAGCCTGGCCCACACATTGCTTTGCAGAATTGTTTGAGTGTTTTCCCAATATGGTGTCCTCTTTTGGCCAGCAACCACTGAATATAAGCTGACATGCCAGCAGGACATAAGCCCTAGAAGTGACCCCATCCATGCTTGTCAGTAACTCTGGGGTGCTTTGTAGCAGCTTCCGCCCTGATATAATGCAGAAAGAGACTCTGAATGACATAGATGGAGATGATGCTCACCGGGGACAATCTTGCATGAGGAGTAGGCTGATGTGTGAATTGTTTTGTTTTGTTTTTCGAGACAGAGTTTCTCTGTATTTCTTTGGAGGCTGTCCTGGAGCCAGCTCTTGTAGACCAGGCTGGCCTCGAACTCACAGAGATCCGCCTGCCTCTGCCTCCTGAGTGCTGGGGTTAAAGGCGTGCACCACCATCGAAGCCCGGCCTGATGTGTGAATTTTAGTCATTCAAATGACTGGGAAGCAAATGCACTGCTGTGCGGGTGATCTGACAGCTTCCCCCACCTTCCAGCACAGGAAGAGAAGGAGACGGGACTCATTATGAAAACTCCAAGCTCTCAGGGTATTTGTACAGCACCCAGAGCCTCCATCAGAGAAGGATCTGGATGCTCCCTGCAGCCACCCTCAGAATTCCGAGACAAGTGTTTCCTTCCAAGAGGTCCTGGAGTTTGCACGCAAGTAGATAGCCAGAAACAGGAAATACCAGCCCTGCTGTCTATGCCTCAAACACTCATGTGTGAGGACTCTTATCCTGCAGACACCTCAACTCTTCTGGAGCCACAAGGGCGAGAATAGGGATTCCAGTGTGTGCTGAGAGTCTACATGCTCAAAGTGGCTGAGCCCTCAGCCCCCAATTCTGATTTGAATAGCCAGCTTCAGCTGGATGACTGACAGCTAGGGGCTGGGGATATGGCCCAGGTGGTAGAGTGCTTGCTTGCCTAGTGTTGGTGCAGCCCTGAGTTCAATCCCCAGCACGTTGTAAACGGGAACTTGGAGAGGCGGTGGCAAGGAAGCTCACACGTTCAAGGTCACTGGGAGTTACATATCAGATTTGAAGCCAAAGCTAGCCCGGGTTACATGAGACCCTGTCTCAAAAAGGAGGAGGAGAAGAAGAGGACAAGAAGGGAAAAGAAAAGGGAAATCAATCTAGCCCTCTCATATACTAATCCTCAACATCCTGATCAGTAGCTCTGATGAAGACCTGAAGAATGCCTTTGATTTTCTCTTTCCCTGAACACAAAACGGGATTCAGCAGCAGCGCGTTTTCTCCATTTGACACCAAGGTTTGGCTCAAATTCTTGTGCCTCCATTATCGCTATCACTAGCAACCTTTTTTAAAAAACTGAGCTATACATTTTCCCCCACTCCCCTCCCCTTCTTCCCTCTCCCACTCCTCCCTCCCCCGGCACCCCACACTCCCAATTCACTCAGGAGATCTTGTCTTTTTTCCCTTTCCTAGGAGGATCCATGCATGTCTCTCTCAGGGTCCGCTTTGTTACCTAGGTTCTCTGGGCTTGTAGCACTAGCATCTTAATCTATATCAATGGTCTTTACCTGAGTGATGGATACAAGAATCTTCTAGCTCAGGGCTTAGTTTTCTCTTGGAGTTTTCTCCACTCCATCTCCCATTCATCATGCAATTCAGTATCTCAAGAAACCAGTGGAGCTGGAGAGATTCTTCAGAGGTAAAGAGCATTGGCTGCTCTCCCATAGGACTGGGGTTCAATGCCCAGCATCTATATGTAGGTCGTGACTCTCTGCAACTCCAGTTCCAGGGGTCTGACCTCCAAAGGCAGTAGGTGTGCACATGGTACACATACATACATACATACATACATACATACATACATACATTACATAAATACATACGTACAGGGAAAACTTATACATGTAAAATAAAAATAAGTAAATACTCTTTAAAGGGGGAGAGAGAGAAAGAACGAAAGAAAGAAGAAAGAAAGAAAGAAAGAAAGAAAGAAAAAAAGAAAGAAAGAAAGAGCAAAACAGCAAACACCACCATGTCACTGAGCCCTTGAGGTGTAATTATCAGAGAGAATGAGCCTCCCTGTTTCAGCCAAAACTGCCCAAACAAAGTGCTTAGATATTGGTCTAATGTTTTAACCTGAATTCTATTCATTTGCTTATTTTTGAGACAGAGTCTTCACTATGCAGCCCTGGGCGGCCTGGAACTTGCAATATAGACCAGACTATCCTCTAACTCACAAGGATTTACCTGCCTTTGCCACTCTCCAGGTTGTATGCCATCAGACTCAGCTTAAGAGATAGGTTCTTTCTGAAAGTTCTGGAGTGGGGTCCAGCTCACTCACTTTACTAATAAGGAAACTCCACTTAAGCAGAATAAACTTAAATCAGATTCACACTAAATGATTCAAGGTTTGTTCTTATGTTTTTACCTCTCAATTCTGAATTTCTCACCTTGAGTGTCAAGAAAGGTCATAAAAGTTGTTAAGGAGGACTGACCCAAATCCAGGAATGAATCAGGCCTGGCAAAAAGAACATCTTTGCCCATTTGTATTCTCCTGTATTTATTCACTGACCTACATAGCAATGTGTCATGGAGTTGACTTTTTAAATAGCCCTTTAATTTTTAATGTGTCCTCCAAGCTAACACCATGAGACATTATCACAAGCCAGTCATGATGCTATGCCTTAAAATTACACCAACCCTCAAAGCTAAACAGAATCACACAAGGGTCCTCCATCCCAGCTTCAAGGTGCTTTGCGATGGAATGTAGAGCTGCTTCCAGGGAGGTTGTGAAATCCCAGAACAAACTAATTAAAAAGGAGACCTCCCAATGAACTTGATTTCACTTTAATCTCACAGGCTTTATTTAACACACTCATGGAAGTAAATGCAAGACTTCAGCTCAGCAATACTCAACCTTCAACAGGTTTGGGCATTACTGAGCAATGGGGTAAGAAAGGGAGACGTCTTATTTACTGATCTTTGGCCTTAATTCACTCTATTGGAAGATTTTAAAGAACCAGGCTTACCAAAGGACCAGGTCTCTCTCTCTTTTTTCTTCTCTAGAATAGCCGTTTCCTTAGTGGGTGATCTATATACAGCAAGCACTTGTTACAGACCAACCACCTCTGAGTTTCATTGTCTTCTTCAAAAGGCATCATTAACCTCTTGACATTGTTTTGAGACTAATAGAGATAACGGGTTTTACTACTGTATAGCCCTGGCTGTACTTGAATTCCCTAAGTACCCCAGGCTGGCCTTAAAAACTTCATAGATCTCTGCCTGCCTCTGTCTCCTAAATGCTGGGATTAAAGTAGTGCACCACTATACCTCAAGACTTTTTCTCCTTTTAACAACAAACAAAAATAAAAACAGGCTCTCATGTGTCCCTGATTAGCCTCAAACTGGCTATGAACCCAAGGATGGCCTTGAACTTCTTGATCTCCAGTACTGGGATCATAGGATTGATTGTCCCACAATATCTGGCTTTCTGTGGTGCTGGAGATTAAACCCAGGGTTCCATGACTTACCTACAACTACAGTAAGGAAGGGGAAATCTCAGCTAGCTGGCTGTGTAGATGTTGCTGACTAGTTTTTAATGTTAATTTGATGTGAACTAGAGCCATTTGGAAAGAGGGGACATCAACTGAGAAAATATCCCTAATAGACTGGCATTTGGGCAAGCCTGTGTTACATTACCTTGACTTATGACTGATGTGGGGGGCCCATCTCACTATGGGCGGTGCCACTCATGGACAGGTGCCCCTGGGTTTTGCCAGAAAGCAGACTGAGAAAACCACGAAGAGCAAGTCGGTAAGCAGTACTCCTCCGTGGCTTCTGCATCAGCTGCTGCCTCCAGGATTCTGCCCTGTTTGAGTTCCGTGCTCTGTTTCCCTCAGTGATGGATTGTGACATGGAACTGTGAGCTAAAACACAAGCACAAGCCACACCAGCTATGTGGTGGTCAGAGGACAACCTTCAGGAGTTGGTTTTCTCCTTCTACCATGTGGGTCCTGGCATATCCATCTCATGCTGTCAGGCTTGGCAGCAAGTTCCTTTCTCTGTTGAGCCATCCTGCTAAACTGACAAATCCATTTTGCACACCACATCCACTCCTGCTTTAAGCACACGAATCCTTAAGAACAGAGACCTCCTGTGTTGTTCATCTCTTGAAGGATTAGATGTGCAATGCAGGAGCTTTAGAAGACTCCTTCAAACCATCCAAAGCAGCACCTACGTGCTCAGTATATAGTTGTCATCCTAGGACATCTGTCACATGATCCATAAAGCATGATCTCACCCAGCTTCGTCTAAAACACCCAGGTTTGGAAGGTGGAAGAGGTGTGACAAAGTGGAGATGAACACATGGTAGGCTTGCAAACAAATATTTATTGAACAAATCAATGAATATAGTAAAATAAACAATCACTTTTTATCCAGTGATGGTGGCGCACCTTTGTTCCCAGCACCTGAAAGCTGTAGGTAGGAACTCAAGGTCGTCCTAGGCTAGGCAGTAAATTAGGACTGCTTGAGACCTTGTCTCAAACAAAGAAATAAGATAAAATAAAATGAAATCATTTCTTTCCTTGAAAATTCAAGTTCATTAACTCAAAAAGTGTAAAGTGTAAAGCAGTTGGAATTTATAGACATAGAACAGCTTCAAATTTTTACCCAAGTTAAATAGCGGAGGGGAAAGAGTGAGATTTCACTTGTAACTGAATATCTGCCTGCCTTGTGCACTGTGACCTTGATCTGACTGCAGGTACGGCTGCAAGCTGCTTCTTACTGCTAAGTGGATGACATCATCGTCGAAGTCACCCTCTTTTTTTAAATCTCCAGCAGCGCTGTTAATCAAGCACAAGCCTGTAAAGAGAGCTGGTGTCATCGTGCCCTCTGCTGCCTTCCTGCTCGGAAGGCTCCCCTTGGCCTCTGGTCACATCCATTTGGCAGGAAGTCCGCTGGTCTGATGGCTAAGGACAATGACATGTCTCCTTCCTTGGTAGGCTTGATCCAGCCTTCTACGGAAATACAATACAAACGGAACTGAAGTGTGGCCCTGCAGATAATATCACTCCTGATCTTTCAAATGGTTTCCCAGATCCCGCCTGAGGGATGCAGTGGGCAGACAAGGTAGGTGGCATCAAATATGAGATCAGGGGATGGATTGATGTCTTTACTCAGGGGACGGACAGAATGTGCTTTCCTTCCCTTCCCTCCTTAGTGACATACAGGGTATCCTGGAGTTTAAGTCCATTGTTTTCTGCCCTTCAGATAATTTTGTCCACGCATACAAAGATTGCCTGGTAGATATATAATGTTATTAGTTATGTCCTATGAAGTGGTTTTGACTCCGTGGGAGAGTGTTCCATATAATTGTGTTTCATATAGTATGAAAACACAATTTCCATACCCTAAAAAAAAAAAGAAAGAAAGAAAAAACACACAAGCCAAAAACCCTCGTCTGCTTCTTAAGTGACGTCAAGTAAAGCTCAACGGGTGATTTCGAGCAATGGATTGTAGCTGAGAAATGCTTTGTGGTAGGCCTTTGTGTGAGTGAGTCACATCTATTATCACACTGGAGACCCTCCTAGAGCATGCTAATTATCAAAATACATGCTGAGAGAATGAAGGTAGTTGGTGGGCTGTTGTGAAGAACTTTATTGTATGTTCCATGAACATATTTAACAACATGTGTACATTCGGCCTCCCTTTCTTTTGGTCCTAAGGTTGGATGTCATTAGAGCAGAGGAGAAAGTTAGCTTACAAATCGAGTTTTCTGTTTCATTCTCTAATCTCACCTTTATTTGAGGAAGGAATTAAAGTTCAGAAAGCTTAAGATCACATGGTCGATAAATGATTTTTCCAGACAGGGTTTCTTTGTGGCTTTGGCTTTGGAGGCTGTCCTGGAACTAACTCTTATAGACCAGGCTGGTCTTGAACTGAGAGAGATCCGCCTGCCTCTGCCTCTCAAGTGCTGGGATTCAAGGCATGCGCCACCACTGCCCAGCTAAAGCAGTGTATTTTTTTTAACATTTTATTTATTTGGGGGTATGATCAAATGTGTGTGTGTGTGTGTGTGTGTGTGTGTGTGTGTGTGTGTTTAGATCAGAGGACAACTTGAAGTAGTTAGTTCTCTCCTCCAATGTGGGTCCTAGAGCTGCAACTGAGGCCATCATTTTGCAAGCGGGTATCTCCACCCACAGAGCCATCTCACTGGCCCCAGAACCGGGTAGTAATTTTAAATGTGACAGGAAAAAGAAGAGCACGGTGCAGTCTGCAAAAGGTTGCAGTCTAAGGGCTGAATCTTAGCACTCCCTTTGAATTCTAATGAGTTGGTTTACTTACAAATATGTTTCAAAACTAAAACAATGATACTTTTTTTTTCCTTTTTTAATTCCTCCCGAGTCCTTCAACCATCCTTAAATGTCAGGTGATGACACAGTGAAATGACACCCAGAGGCTTTCGTGGATTTGCTGCCAGAAAATTCAGTAATAAAACTTAGATTTATATTTCCCAACACCAGAAATCTCTTATCACCAAAGGACTCTGAAAGTCATGGAGAGAGATACCCACTTCTGGGTCAGAACACCAAGGAGACACAACTCTCTGGATGGCTGATTAATGGAATTATCTCCAATTCCACAGTCATAACATGGAAACAGTCTCGGTTGGATTTTATTTATTTATTGTACTCTCTGCCATCAGGCACTAGAGAAAAGCGTTTATTATACATTCACCACTGAGCTTGCAGTGCACTGTACCTCTATTTTCCATGTTTATTTGGGCTGATTCTGCTGCCTGGGAAGGCCCATTCTTTGGTCAGACAGTGGTCACTGGACCTTGGTCACTGACAGAGGCCAGGCCAAGAGTCACCCAGGGCCAACTCCCTCCTCTAAGGTATGGAGTGTAGGGGAAAGATCCTGCAACCCTGCTCCAGGTGTAGACTGTCTGCCAGAAGACGACATTTGGGATGATCGTGGTGTTGACCAATCAGCTCTGGGAAGCCATAAGTAGGACTCAGTGTCCCAGAGGCAAAGGAAAAAGAGTGTCCATACAGGAAAAAGTGTCCATACTGGAGTGTATCAGGTGATGCTTATAGTCTTTGTGCTTTTTTGTCACCTTTGATATCTCATTTGTGACTGTGCCGCAGATGCCGTAATTCAGTGGGCATGGGAACATCCCCTCCTTAGAGAAATAAAGCTGCCACCTCACTCCTATGTTCTAATGCACTCTTTTGGTTCTTGGATCTCCACACTTACTTGCCCGTGTTGGGACCTGCTCCACTGGTTTCAAAATGCTGCCAAGGGACACCGTGACTCTTCACGGGTCAAAATGCTATTAAAGGCTGAGCACTGACATGACCCAGTGGGCTCTTTAGTGCTCATCATTACAAGCCTCATGAACCTGTAGTAGGCTCCAAGGAGAATGCTAAAGAAAACGTCGGCCAGAAAACGTTCCAGAAGACGACAATCATTTTATTCTACTCGAAAAGTTTATTGAAGGTCAAGGCGGGGGAGACGAAGGCTTGAACAGGACCTCTGAGCAGCCTTTCTCTTCCCTTCCTGTTCCGGGCACTTTGGGAGCTGCTGCAGGATGCGATGCTGTGTATAAAGGTGTGAGCTGGGTTCTCCAAGAAGCAGTTCGACCTTGGCAGAAGCTTCACGCACAGTAGATAGATTTCTTGTTTTGTTGCTTGCTTGCTTGCTTGTTTTTGCATCAAATCAACTACTCTCGTGTTCCCACACCACTTTTACCACTTCTTGGTGTCTCAGATAAAAATGCCATGGCGGCGGGTGGTAGTGCATACTTTTGATTCCGGCTCTTGGCCCAGATATTCTACATACTGAGTTCCAGGTCAGCCGCAGCTACATAGTGAGACTCTCTCTCTCTCTCAAAACCGAATAACGACAAAAACTGCTCAAAAACCAAACAAAGCAAAACAAAAACACACCAAAGAAATAGGGGCTGGAGAGATGGCTCCGTGGTTAAGAATACTAGCTGCTTTTCCAGAGGAGCAAGGTTCAATTCCTAGCACCAGCGTGGTAGCTCACAACTGTCTGTAACTCCAGTGTCAGGGGAGCCTCTTATGGCTTCCTCTAGCACTAGACACACACGTGGGACATAGACAAATATGCAGGCAAAACACCCATACATATAAGCACAACTAAATAAAAAAACAAAGAATTGGTGGTGCATGCCTTTAATCCTGTCACTTGGGAGACAGAGGTAGGCTGATATTTGTGACCAAGGCCATCTTGTCTACATAGCAAGTTCCAGGCCAGCCAGGGCTACACAGTAAGACCTTGTCTAAGAAATAAAGAAAGAGAAACCAAGTAAATGCCTGTTGTCACCTCTGACCTGTTGCGATTCTATCTGGAAATTCACCATCCACCAGATGCTCAGTGCAAACGACACTCACCGATGCTGTCCTTCCATGCTGATGCTGTGTGAGTGGTCCCTCTTGTTCCATCCTTTTACAAATGGCTCAGTAGACCCAGACACTGGACATCTCCAGTGCTCCTCTTCTCTGTGCTAGGAATATGTTCTATCTTAAAAACATTTCTTTCTCTGTCTGCTCTAAGGCCTAAAAATAATGTCCCAACTGGTGTCAGTGAACATGCAGTGATCAGGCTGTCATCTCAGACACTACTTCCCATGGAGAGGTCCCTAGTAAGGTGGCCAATTCCGAGTCCAGATTGAGACATGGTATGTTAAGATTATCTTGCCAGATCAGATATAAACTATATAAAGGCTTACAAGGACCACATCAGAAGGATTCAGTGGCCAATTTGAAGCACCTCCCACTGGCAAAAGATGAGTCGACTGGAGAAGCAATAAGAAAAATAACTAGAACAGATTGAAATACACAAGATATGCGTGCATGCATATATGTGTGTGTGTGTGTATACACACACGTATATTATTTTATGTGTGCGTGCAGGAGTTTATGGAGGTCAGAGAGCCATTATTTCCTTTGGAACTGGAGTTACAGATGGCTGTGAGCCACCACATGGATGCTTGGATTCAAACTCCAGTCTTCTGCAAGGGTAGTAAGTTCCCTTAACCACTGAGACATCTTTCCAGCCCTCACAAGATATGTTCATAATGTTACTGAAAAGCCAACCAATTGGTCGATATATATGAAAATATTAGTAGCCTTTAAAAAAATTTTTTAAGTAAGCACGAATCTTGCCTTTGCTTTGTGAACTGCACTTCTGGGAGCTGTCTAGGAAATAAGGGAGCTTAGTTTGTGTCATAAATGAAGCAGTAATAGAATTATGCTATCACCATGTTTCAATTCTGAATCGAAGTATCTAGACATCTGCCAGCATGATTAAAGAGACAGACTGTGCCTCAGATGGAAATCTCTAAGACAAATCAAACACCCCTATCAAGACAAACAAACCTGACACTGGAGAGATGACAGCTCAGTGGTTAAGAGCACTGGCTGCTCTTGTAAAGGAACTGGGTTTGATTCCCAGGACCACATGGCAGCTCACGACCATCTGTAACTCCAGCTCCAGAGGATGCGAAGCCTCTGGCCTCCTCAGTCACTTGTACTCATGCGCACAAATACACACAAGGACACACAGCTGTACTTAACTAAAAATAATAAAAATGATCTTTAAAAATTAAAAAAAAAACCTAAAAGTCAAAGAATGTCTTAGAGCCACATGACTGCATTTAGGAAAAAATCCAGTCTGTATCTACTGGGGAAAAATAATGACCTAATTTCAGGGACACGTGATAAACTATGAATGAAACAATGTAATATATATGGCTTGCTTATAAATTGTTAGGGGGAAGAAAAGAAGTCAAGAGAATATAAATGAAATGAGATAGGATTTGTTTTTGGTTTTATGAGACAGGGTTTCTCTGTGTTGTTTTGGAGGCTGTTGGACCAGCCTGGCCTCGAACTCACAGAGATCTGCCTGCCTCTGACTCCCCAGTGCTGGGATTAAAGGCGTGTGCCCGTGTGCCACCACCACCCGGCGAGATAGGATTTTTAAAGAATATAATAGTATTCATTCTTTGACTATTTTTATTGTATTTGCCCCTCCAATCCTTCCCCCAATCTACCACCTTCTCCTTACCTTCTCTAATTCATATCTGTTTTCTTAAACATTTTTAAAATTTTTAGTGTATAGATGTTTTGCTGTGTGCATGTCTGTATATTGTGTGAGATTCCCCTGGAACTAGAGTTACAGACTGTTGTGAGCTACTATGTAGGTGCTGGGAATTAAACCTGGGTCCTTTGGAAGAACAGCCAATGCTCTTAACCACTGAGCCATCTTTCCAGCCCCTTCTCTCTGTCTCTCTGTCTCTCTGTCTCTCTCTCTGTCTCTCTGTCTCTCTGTTTCTCTCTCTGTCTCTCTGTCTCTCTGTCTCTCTGTCTCTCTCTCTCTCTCTCTTTCAGTCAGTCATTTTTATTCTGGTCTTCTTTGATGCTCCCTGAGCCTTAGAGATAGGGGTTGTGCTGCAGATGTATCAGCTGGGGATGGGAAGCCCATGGTCAGTTGTTCACTACCTTTTGACCACTTGTGGATTTCTGTATCCATCTTCATGTGTTTGGGATTCTCGAAGCTGGATGGAGATCGAAAGAAGTTATTAATATTTTCCATTATAAAAAAGTATTTCTACAAAAAAAGTATTTTTACTAATTTACTTTTTTAAAAAAAGACATAAGTCTCTGGCTTCTAGTGAGAAACTTATTCTACCATCACATTAGTCATGGGAAAAAAACCCAAAAACGTACAAAGATCTAAAATGTTCTACATCAGAAAAAAGATTCCCAGACCCCACAGATTGACTCAGTCATCCAGTGGTCACATACTGCCCAGGTATACATGCAGGCAAAATGCTCATATGCATACATAAAAAATAAATAAATCAATCTTTAAAAAAAAAACAAATTCCCATAGGGTTCCTAAAACAAGGGACAGGGGCAAAGATTAAAGATTACATCACCACTGGGAGTTCATGAACTCTATTTTCTCATCTGATTCTGCCAAGAACTTTCCTTGTGGTCTTTTCTGCCTTAATTTGGTCGTTCTCCAAACATGGTCAGATCCACATGACAGCTCATCAAGACCGCAGAGTTCCAGCCAACTAGGGCTCTGCCATTTGCATGAAGAGGACTCATTGCCCTTTATTAGAAAGACAATTCAGCTATAGGTACTTATCAACGCAATGGATGAGATGGCAAACTGAAAATGACAACTTTCACAGAAGGGGGAAAAGTCACATTAAGTGAGAGGTTGCTATTTAACATAGTAGGACTGCTTTTTGTTTTGGGGATCTTCTATAATGTGTGTGTGTGTGTGTGTAATTACCTTTTTATTTGTTTGAAACGATGCCTTTAATGCCATCATATAAGAAGCAGAGGCCAGAGGATCACCACAAGAGCTAAGCCTTTCTGGTCTACATAACAAGTTCAAGTCCACTCAGGCCTACAGAGTGAGAACCCTGTCTCAAAGCGGAGGTGGAAAATCAAGGGAAGGAGGGATGAAAGAAGAGGAGGCTCGGGGGTTACTCCTCAGTACCCACTAAATTTCAGATCCCAGTACCCACGTCGAACAATTCACCAATGCCTGTCACTGTAGCCCCGAGAGATCAGACGTCCTCTTCTGTCATCTTTGGGCACCCACATACACACATGCGCACATACACAGATACACAAAGTAAGATTTTAAAGCAATCTGTTTTCTACACTGGTTCTAATGTTAATTTCCTGCAGAAAAGGCTACACTTTCTCAGATTTTGAGATGTTTCTGATGCCAATATTCACAGACAGCCTTGCTATCAAATGAGAAGATAAAGACCCCCTGATGCTAAGACGCCACGCGGACTAGTTTTACTTGTCTGCTATACTCCAGAAACAAATGAAGTGGAAGTAAATGGGATTGATTTTCTCTTTTACCCATCTGGCACCGATTGTTTACAGCTCTAGGTGTCTACTCGAGGATATTCTGTATGCCAAAGATGTTGAAGGTCATTCTAGGATTCTAGTTGCTTATGTAACAACTGGAAAATTCTTTTCTGCTCATCAGTAGTAGTCCCATCTCTACACGGGTCCCCTCCCCCATATGTTTGGACAGACACACTTAAACACAAGCATATGCCTGCTCTAATCCTCTTCCATATTTGCAAATTATTTTGCCCTTGACTTATCTGGTTTACATTTAGATAGTTTCCCTTAGTGTGAACTTTAAGGTGGCATGCTATTGGAAACATTTTTTTTAAATGAAAGAAAAGTCTAAGCCAGGGGATGATATGACAGTTAGAAAGTACTTAATAAAGAGGAAGGAGAGAGAGAGAGAGAGAGAGAGAGAGAGAGAGAGAGAGAGAGAGAGAGAGAGAGAGAGAGAGAGAGAGAGAGAGGAAGGCAGAGTGTGTATGCCAGAAAGTTTGAACAACCACAGCTCATAAAAATGAATGATGAACGAGCTGATAAAATCCCCTCTTCTAGAAATTTCGTTTGAAATGCTAATACCCAAACAAAATGGACATTGGGAATCTTAGGTTGGCAAATAATAGTACAGGAAGGAGTGCCTTTTTTTTGTTTGTTTTCTTTTTTGGGATTTTTTGAGACAGGGTTTCACTGTGTGGCCTCGGTTGTCCTGGAACTAGCTCTGCAGACCAGGCTAGTTTCAAACTCACAGAGATTGGCCTACCTCTCCCTCCTGAGTGCTGAGATTAAAGAGCATGGCACCACCACCTGCAACAGTTTTAAGTATATGGAGGGGTGGACTCCGTCCATATGGTAGTTGTTAGCAGCTCTTTCTCCTAGGCTCAGCACAAATGGGAGAGAATTAAGCCGGGATTATAAACAAGGTATTAGAAGCTCACAACAGGGGATGAGCTCTTTCTTCTCCATCCCTGCTGTTTCCAATCCGGTAGCTACCTACCTATAAGCTGTCGTTCTCAAAGCTACTGTGTTCTAGCAATCCTCCCCAGGATTGGTTGACAGGATCTCAAAATCAGCCCAGTGTCCATGCCTCCAAGTCTTCCTCACTGAAGACAGTCCCCGCATAGCCTTCCCCTTCCCTCACTACCTGCCCCTAGGGTCCTAGGACAGATTATCTGACCATGAGCTGCTACAGGTATTCTTCACCTAGGACCCAAACCCAGGACAGATCTCAGAGTCACCCTGGGTCGTGGAAAATCTAAAACCAGGTCCCAAAGTCTACACTGCAGGAGAATCCCCTAGGAGACCTTATTATGAACCAATATCCTGGGTTTTCAGAGATTCTGTTTTGTGTGTGGTATTGGATACGATGTCTACGTGTATGGTGTTTTATGTGGCATATGTGCAAATGTATGTACACATATATGAGGAAGCCAGAGGTCAATGCCACATGTCTTCCACTGTCATTCTCCATCTTACTTTTTGAGACAGGCTCTTATTGAACCTGGAGCTCACTGATATGACTAGGCTGACTAGCTAGAGAGTTCTAGGGATCTGCCTGTCTCCACTTATTCAGGACTTGGGATGTCTCTGAGTGCCTGGGATCTGAACTCATGTCCTTGTACTTGCACTATAAGTACTCAACTGAAGGAGCCATCTCCCCGGTCCTGACTGTCAGGGCTTCTAATCTATAAACTCTTGGGTGAGACCTAGGAATGCATATTTCTATGAAACCCTCAGATGTATCTATTTCCTGTGACGCAAGGACCACAGGCTGTGGAGGACAGGTAGAGGTGGTGTCAGATATCAGTCGATATATTCAATAGTCCCTGAGGCAAAAGTGTCACTTGGTGTGCAAACAAAGCAAACCTTATGAGAGGTTGGTCTTGGCTGCACGAGAACTTTCTAAGGTCTCTGCCCCTTGCTTTCTTATCTGTTTCCAGCTCCCTGACGCTCCTTGCTCATACACCCCAGCCTTGGCATGGGAACCTCAGTGCGTGACTTACACCTCCTGTTGTTGCAGCCTTAGCTTTGCCTCTCGAGGGCTGTTTCTTTCTAGCCTTACATTGTTCCAGGAAATCATCCAAAGTTCCAGATCACTGAGAAAGGGATGTGGCAGTAATTATTTCCACATCCAGTGTCTTTCCCCTTCCAGGCACAAGTGACAAGAACTCCTCCACCTCCGGTGCTTACGAGCCAAGGGATTCATCCTGACTGATGAAATGGGAGCTGAAGTGGCCCACGTGGGACTTCACAGCGCCTCCCTCTCCTTCCATGACCCCTCCCTGGTCTTGTGTTTCCATCAAGGCAACTGTGACCTGATGGAGATTTCGGTAGCCCAGCCCTTCCGCAGCTGGGTGGAGCAGATTTGCTGATTCCATGGAGCACCTTGTGTGAGCAAGAAACAAAAGACTGTGCTGTTTTGTCCTGTGAACAAGAACTTTCGGGAAGAAACTGTGTCTCCAAAGACTGATGGACTGATTAGAACGTCAGTGTTGCAGCCAGCTTGCTTCCTGGACACCTATCCCTTGCCTACCTCGATTTTGGAATTAACATCTTGTAACTAACAGATAAAAACTGTTGGGGCTGGGCGGAGGTGGCACACATTTTTAATCCCAGCATTCAGGAAGCAGAGGCAGGTGGATCTCTGTGAGTTCAAGGCCAGTCTGGTCTCCAAAGAGAGTTCCAGGACAGTCGCCAAACCTACAGAGAAACCCTGTCTCAAAAACAACAGAAACTGTTGGGAAGCTACACTCAACCGTACTCCTCCCATTCCAGATCTTGCCCCTGAGAAAGCCGACCACTGGCGGCTCCTCCCCAGGAGATGCTCAAGACCATGCCTACAAGCTATTTAAGGCACGCTCCCCCTGCCCCATACACATGGTTTTCTCCCCACCACCACCATCCAGGAGTTGTTTTAATCATTAAACCTAGACTTCTAATTCAGTCTAATCTGATTCATCGAATCAGCAGAGAGACTTAATATCCGGATAGAGAAACCTTTCAAAACCCTTTGGAATTTAACAGCCAAAAAACTAAGAATCTCATCAGAGAGACTATGGCGCCTATAGGAGATCCGTCATTTTTTGTTGTTGTTGTTTTGTTTTGAAACAAGATCTCATTGTGTAGAGTTTTGTAGGTAGACCAGGGTGGCCTTGAAGTCACAAAGATATACCTCCTAAGGCTGCCCAGGCCCAGGGACTAAAAGTGTGCACCACCATGCTCTGCTTGAGACTTGCTTTTTTCTCTCCCATATGTATTGGTGTTTTGCCTCCATGTATGTCTGTGTGAGGATGTTGGATCTCCTAGAACTGGAGTTACAGGCAGTCAGCTGCCCTGTGTGTGCTGGGAACTGAACCGGGGTACTTGGGAAGGGCGATCAGTACTCTTAATAACTGAGCCATCTCTCCAGCCCAGAAATCCACCATCTTGCTGTCATGACTTCCCTGATGTAGTCACAGTAGTGGTTTGAAAGAAAATGGCCTCCAAAGGGAGTGGCACTATTGGAAAGTGTGGCCCTGTTAGAGGAAGTGTGTCACTGTGGAGGCGGGCTTTGAGGGCTCAGATTTGTAAATTTGTTCGAGTCATGCCCAGTGTCTCAGACCACTTCCTGTTGCCTGTGATTCACGAGGGAAGAACTCTCCGCTCCTTCGCTAGCACCAGGCTCCCCCTCCATGATGCTAATGGGCTGAAGCTCTGGATTGTAAGTGAGCCACTGCAATTAAATGTTTCCCTTTATAAGAGTCGCTGGGGTCATGGTGTCCCTTCACAACAATAGAAACACTAAGACATCCACCAATAAAAGTTTTAAATTGCCTTAATTTATGACTTTCTTTGTTCTGCTACTATGAAGCCTCATGAAACTGCTTTCATGTGGGAACATGGAACTTGAGGCAACCTAGTTCTATGTTTCCTGGGCCACTATACTTTGTGTGTGTGTGTGTGTGTGTGTGTGTGTGTGTGTGTGTGTGTGTGTGTGTATGTGTGTGTGTAGAGGCCAGAGGTCAACCTTGGATATTATTCCTCAGCTGCCACCACCCACTTTTTCTTTTTTCTTTTTCTTTCTCTCTTTTTTTTTAAAGCAGGACCACACAATGTGGTTCTGGTTGATCTGGTACTCACTATGTAGATGTCAGGTTGGCCTTGAATTCACAGAGATCCACGTGCCTTTGCCTCCTAAGTGCTGGGATTAATGACTGGGCCAGCATCCTGGGTTCAGGATGAGACCTGGTATTTTACAGGGTCTGGGGTTGACTATGATTAGGATAAGATGACAGCAATCCTCCTGTCTCAGCTTCCCTAGCACTATGACTACAAACATGTCCCCACACCCAGCATTCTGCATGGTACTGTCATGTTTATATGGCAAGCACTTTACCAACTGAGCTATCTCTCTCTCTCTTTCTCTCTTTTGTCTTTTTGAGACAAGTTTTCTCTGTGTGACAGCCTTGGCTGTCCTGGAACTAGCTTTGTGGATTAGGCTGGCCTCACATTCACAGAGGTCCACCTGCCTCTGCCTCCTGAGTGCTGGGATCAAAGGCGTGCATCACCATCTGGCTGTCTAAACTATCTCTATCCCAAGTGATACTGTACTTTAATGGTTTCTCCAAAGTGACCAGGGTCTTTAATTGATATCCGCTAACTACATTAGAGCATTCAACTTCATTGTTACAAGCTAACTCCATTTAATGGTAATGGTTGCACGAACATCTTTTTTTTTAAAGATTTATTTATTTATTATGTATACAGTGTTCTATCTGCATGTTTGCCTGCATGCCAGAAGAAGGCACCAGATCTCATTACAGATGGTTGTGAGCCATCATGTGGTTGCTGGGAATTGAACTCTGGACCTCTGGTAGATCAACCAGTGCTCTTAGCCACTAAGCCATCTCTCCAGCCCTTGCACGAACATCTTTACTGAAGTAACTATGTCTTTAGTCTGAAATAAACATTCAGGGAATCTCTTGACCAAGTAGACTGTGAGCATTGAGACTCTGACTAGCATACAACCTATGGATTCTCATTAATCTCTTGTAAAAATTAAATGTAATGTAATTGAGTATGTATGGATGTTTTCCACAGATGTATGTCTGTATGCCATGTGTATGATAATGCCCACAGAGACCGGAAAAGCAGCCAGTGTTCTTAACTGCTGAGCCATGTCTCAGCCCTAATTACCATTTAATAAATCTCAAAGCTGAGATTTAAGATGGACCGCTTTCATGGGTGCTGAATCTAATTTGGACTGAGTTCTCTGTTACTTCTCCATGTTTGCAGTTGTGTGATGCAAAGCCCCTCACAGGCCTCACATGTTCCTACTAGTATCGGATTCTGATGAAGTATATCAAAAGGGTGGAGTCGCTTTTTTTTTCCACTTGACTTTTCTGTGTTTCTCATGGAAGCTGGGGGCAGTCGCAGTCCCAGAGAGTCTGTCAAGTCTGGCTGCAGTGGATTTGCATCTGACTGTTCTCTTTAGACACTCTTATTGCCAGACGAGGCAAGTTGCTTTGTCTAGATTGTCCTTGTTTTACCTCCGCTCACTTTCAACTGTGCAGCTGGAAGAATGGCCCTGAACAGATTCTTCCAAAGTGGCTGCGCTGGTTCCCAGCCCACAAAAAGAGGCAAACTGGCAATTTTCTTTTGGTCATGCATTCCCTTCCCTGCCCTTCCCCCTCCTGAGTTCTTTGCTGCTTTTAGAAGCTTTAGTGTGTGTGTGTGTGTGTGTGTGTGTGTGTGTGTGTGAGAGAGAGAGAGAGAGAGAGAGAGAGAGAGAGAGAGAGAGAGAGAGAGAGAGAGAGAGGGAGAGAGGGAGAGAGGGAGAGAGAGAGCTTGCATATGTATGTGCATGTGTATGCCTGTCTGTGTGTGTGCTCACATATATGTGCATGTGTGTGTCTGTGTGTGCCATCTGTGTGTGAGTGTGCTCATGTGTGTGCTCACATGTGTGTGTCTATGTGTGTGTGTGTCTTCATTTGCACAAGTCTGGTTGACTTTCTGGGCTGTGGTCCAGATGAGTCCTAGTGTTGTTTACTGCCTCTCGGAGTCTTCTTGGGAGGCTGGTGTTTTAATTAAGACCACATTGATCTCAGATACTAGAAAATGCTGTCTGACCCAAAATCTCTCTCCACTTGAAACCTTCTCACCAGACTTCCCACTGAACATTACCTTAAAAGGATGGCCATCTACTTTGAACATATGTGAAGGGGAGGGGGGAGGGAGAGAAGGAGAGAAGTAGAGAGAGAGAGAGAGAGAGAGAGAGAGAGAGAGAGAGAGAGAGAGAGAGAGAGAGAGAGAGAGAGAGAGAGAGCGCCACTCTATGTAGACCAGGCTGGCCTCGAACTCAGCTTCTGCTTCCCAAGTGCTTGGATTAAAGACCTGTGCTACCACTGGCCGGAGGATTTAAAGTATACACTGAGGTACACTTTGGCTACTATTTTTCATTTTTCCACCTTTTAGTTAATTTACCTTTCCAAGAAAATCTTTATATCAGTATGGTGCATCTGAAAGCAAGGATAAAGCTGGAGTGTAGCTCGATTGGCAGGTTGGTCACTGTCTTAGTTATGGTTTCTATGCTGCGCAGAAAATACCATGCCCAAAAAAGCAAGTTGGGGAGGCAAGGGTTTAGTAGGGTTATACCTCAGCATTGCTGTTCATCACTGGAGGAAGTCAGGACAGGAACTCAAACAGAGCAGGGTTCTGGAGGCAGGAGCTGATGGCAGAGGCGATGGAGGAGAGCTGTTTACTGAACTGCTTCCCCTGGCTTGCTCAACCCACCTTCTTATAGAACCCAGGACCAGTCCAGGGATGGAATCACCCACCATGGGCTGGGCCCTCCCTCACTGATCACTAATTGAGAAGAGGCCTCACAGCTGCATCTCGTGGAGGCATTTCCTCAGCTGAGACTCTAGCTTCTGTCAAGTTGACACACAAAACCAGCCAGTACACTCGCCCCCCCCCCCAAACTCCTGTGCTTGAGTCCTAGTGTCCCACAAACTGGAAGTGGTGGTGCACGGTTGGAACTGCAGGCAGCAGGTCACAAGTTCAAGGTCATCTTCTGCTATATAGTAGGTTTGAGGTTAAGCCTGGGCTAGGTAAGACTCTGTCTCGAAAACAAACACTCAAGTGTGGGATGGAACACTGAATTTTTAATGCAGCCATTATTTGAATTAGCCACTTGAATTTGATAGGACCCATCTACCAAGTCCCTCCTCTTCGATGGGTCAGGGTTGCCTTCACAAACACCCTTTCCTTCTTAATGTTTTAAAGTAAGTATTTTGAATATCAGTATCAAAATGGGAAAATACACAGATAATCAGACTAAGCTGGGGAGAGAGAGGAAAAACCATTGCCTTGATTTAGGTTGCCTAGACCAGAGGGACACTCTAAAACGAGGATTTAAGAGGAAGCAGTTTTTCTGTGTGTGTGGGTATGGTACTTATGTGGTGGTATATATACATTTAACATGTTGTATATAGGCATGTGGTTGGTTGTCTTTTACTTTTTGCTCTCTTGGGGGGGAGGGCCGACACCCAGTTCCCAAATAAATATATGGGGACTTATTCTTTCTTATGAATGCCCAACCTTAGCTTGGCTTGTTTCTAGCCAGCTTTTCTTAAATTAACCTGTCTACCTTTTGCCTCTGGATTTACCTCTCTCTATTTCTGTATATCTTTTCTTTCCTTTTTACCTGTGTCTGGCTGGGTGGCTGGTTGGCTGGCCCCTTCTTTTCTTGCTCCTTCGATCCTCTCTTCCCAGATTCCTCCTCCTATTTATTCTCTGTACCTGCCAGCCCCACCTATCCTTGCTCCTGCCTAGCTATTGACCATTCGGCTCCTTATTAGATTAATCAGGTGTTTTAGACAGGCAAATAATCACAGTTTCACAGAGTCAAACAAATGCGACATAAAAGAACGAGACACATGTCTGCATCATTAGAACAAATATTCCACACCATAAATGAATGTAAGAATCTTAAAATAATATTCCACAGCATAGGCGCGTGTTCCTGCTCATATGAGCACATGTGACCATCACTCTCTACATTATCCCCTCGAGACTGTCTTTCCCTGAACCTAGCACTAGACTGGCAAGCATCAAATCCCAGTGATCCTCTTGTTTCCACCCCATCCCTGGGGTTACAGCCAAGCACATGGCCACGCCCAGCATTAAATGTGCAGACTGGGGATTTGAACTCAGTTCTTCATGCTTGTATATCAAGTGCCCATATTCCTTGATTGATCATCCAGCCTTCAAGTAATTTTAACTGGGGCACTATCCTAGGAAGGAGGTAAAGTAGGAAGGAGGTATGTCACAGAGGTCAGGAAGCCACAAAAGAACCGCCATCTAATGTGACATCCTTTTGCGGGAAACTAACTCAGTCCTGCTGGGGAACTCTGCCAGATGATATAGAGCATTCCTTGGGAGTATCTTACCTCACTAGATGCTGTAGAGTTTATCCCTGAACTCAGTCGAGGCTGTCTTTGGGAAGTTAATTCTTGGCCACTGCTTGCCTGTTCTGCACAGCCTGCCTTGACTGTTAGGTCAAAGGAAAACCCTCAGCAGACGTAGTTCCCCTGAGGAAGCAGCTATTGGCTACAGAGGGCTGGGAAGCCTGACAGCATCAGACAACCATCATGCAAAGACAGTCACTCTCAATAGTAATGGTACCCAAGAAAATTAAAGCAACGGTGAAATATTGTTTTGGACATATTTTAATAATCTTCTCATATAGTAGAGAATGGAAATGACCCCCTACAAAGGGGAGGGTACTTGAAAAGTGTACCCTCTTGTGTATTGCTGACAGGAGTCAAAGTTGGTACAA